ATCACTGGTAGAATGTAGGGGAGCACTCCCAACTATGGATCACTGGTAGAATGTAGGGTACCAATAAGCAGGCACATGGTATGATATAGGGGGCGCGCCCAGCTTCCATGAGATAGGTAGAAAATCCAAAGCCTATAATCTCCAGTGTCCCAGAGACTAAGGGAGGATTGGATAGGAGAGGCACAGGTTGATTTTGTGGTCCGTAGAGCACAAATCAGGGCCATGGCTCCGGGAGCCCAAGAGAAGCATGGTCAGTCAGTACTAGGTTTTTTTTTTTTTTTTTAACTGAGTCAAAAAGGTGAGAGACCATAGTCTGGATACAAGTCCTAACTCATGGAAGCATGGGCAGAGGTAGAGAGGAAGGGGCTGGCTTACCAGACATGGCGGTGGTGGATGGAAGATTCCAGAGATCCTTAGTTGGAAAAGTGACCGAGTTGAAGGCTACAGGGTCCTGGAATATCTCAGACTACCACGGGCAGGAGAAAATGCAGGAAAACCTGCCGAGTCACATACACCAATGTTATGACAAAGCATGAGGGGGAATTGGCGGAATCCATGGCAGGCGAGGGTGACCGAGGTGGAGGGACAAACACGCCAGGCAGACAGAGCTTAAGTGAGAAGTTTTATTAAAAAGGAAGGGGGAAGGAAAGAGAAAAGAGGTGAAGAGACAAAGACAGAGGGAGGACAGAAGAGAAGAGGGAGACAGGAAAAGCCCTGTCTGCCCCAGGGGAACATCGGGAAAGAGAGCTGGAAAGGAGAGTGTAAGTGGGAGGGGTCTGTCTTTTAAAGGGGTCCTTTGTACCTGTGTGCAGACTGTGAGCATGGAACCCTGGGCTGACCAGGGAACTATCTGAGTTCATTCTGCCAGGTGACAGGGGCAGGCCAGCATAATGCCTGAATCCTTACAGTGACCCCTTTGGAGGTCAAACAAACGACCTTTTCACAGAGGTCGAATACTAGATATCATGCATGACTCATAACTAGCAAAATTACAGTTATGAAGTAGCAAACAAAATAGTTTTATGGTCGGGGGTCACCACTACAGGAGTAACTGTATTAAAGGGTCACAGAGTTTGGAAGGTCATGAACCACTGATTTAGAGTAACCTACCAAACTGAGAACAGTCATAACAGCAATCATTAAAACCAAAGAAATCATTGTTCTGTGGGGCGGAGAAGCACGAAGTGCTTGCCAGGAAGACAGGGTTACAGTTTTATGGATGCAGACACTTCTCATACTAAGAGGCTCAGAACTGCCAGGCCAGACACCGGGCCAAGGACTTTACGTGGATCTATTTTCATAACCACTAACTGGGCTCCGTACTATTCTAGAGACATTAAATAACCTTATTGAAGTTAAACTGCTAATTCCTGAGCTACTAAACTAGAATCTGAACCTAAGTCTACCAAATGTGCAGCTATGATGACTCCTCACAGCCCTGTAGCCCGCCTCGGGGCGATAGGTAAGGCTCCCAGAGAAAAATCACAAAATACAGATCTAAACCCAAAGCTCTGCTGTCTCTCCCCATCCCTCCTTCATCCTCCTCTCTGTCTTTTCATCACTGATTTGCTATGTCCACGCTGTCTCAGGCAGGCCTGCAAGGACGGTGGTTAAGAGAAGGCCCCTTCCCAGGGAGCTCATATAAAGGATGCATTAAGAGATGACCACTCAGTTTGGCTCCCAGAGAGCAGTAGGAGGGAGCATCACTCATCCATCTTGCTATAAATCTAATCTCAGGACCCATTCCAGACTTCCTGAGGTGGAACCCCCACTTTAACCAGCTCCTCAGTGAAAGGTTCTGTACTCCAATATTAAGTGTCTAAGCTGATGCAATAAATCAGATCAGACTGAACTAATAAGACCTGGTTTAATCTGAACAAAACAACTCATGGGTGATAGGAGGGAGGGGAGAAACCACGTGGCAGGTCTATGGGCCGGGTCTTAAAATACCCTGTAGGCATGGTCTTGAGCAACTGGAGGAAGAGCGGAAGGGGTGTCAGGGTTTGGAGAGAGAGGAGGGGGTGAGGTGGAGTTTCCAACCATCAATATATATGAAAATGTCTCTGATGAAGGTCTAATTGGCTATTTAGAAGGGAGGGTCATCCTAAGCTTAAGCTTTTCACTATCAGACAAAACTTAGAGCATAAAAGAAACAACTGGCCTGGAATAATAGCCAGCATTTATTTGAATGCCTAGGTGGCTCTACTCCATGATTAATTAAACCTCAGAAATGATTCTTATTGTATCGGGGGAAGTTTCCAGACAAAGGTATGAACTAGGTGACATTGTCAGCCAAGATCAATATCATCTTTAGTGTTTTCTTTAGTTCCCTACAAAGAGGCACTAACAGGGAGAAGGCCAGTGCTTGGGGGACTTTGTTCTCTCTTAGATTGATATAAGTGGCCCCACCTTCCCACAAATGCGAACTAGCTACAGGAAGCTCAAAGGGCAGGCAGAGCTGGAACCAAGGAGAGACTGGAATACACCGAAGGAAGAAATGCAGGTCACTCAATAGGGCCTTCAATAAAATTGGCTGGTTTTTTTTTAATGTTTGTTTACTTTTATTTGCTCCATGCTGCCATATGTTGAATTGTCAGAGCCAGAAAGGAAGTAAGGGCTGAGGCTCTATCTCAGTAGTCAGGCTCTTGCCTGACAGACACAAAGTTCTGAGTTCAATTCTTAGTACCGCCAAAACAAACAAACAACCAAACAAGCAAACAACAACAAAAGAGCCAGAAATGAAGTGAGACTTCTGAATTATGTCAGTAAAGGAGAAGAAATAAAATGAGGTTTAGAAACAAAAACAAATGCAAGGCACTGAGTTTGAGAGTGTGGGACAAAAATTCCATGAAACATCAGCCACAGCTCTCCTGCACCAGATGTGGGCTAGTCACCGTCTGTGGGGGAAGTGAGCTCACCCTGCAGGAGGCCAGAGTCTGGGCGAGCATGGGTGTTCCTTCCACCTACCGCAAGTGACAATCACCTAAAAACCCAACACTTTGTAAGCAGACCTTATGAAATTCCAGGGTAGACTCTAGGCTGAGGGCTATCAATGACTCACGTTAAGGTCCTCAAGGTCCCATCGCTGTGAAAATAAGGCTGTGGTTACTCAAGAACACAGTGCACAGGCATGTCACTATCAAAGCCCAGCATCGTATCAGACGCAGAGGGACAGAGAAGAGAGACAGTCAGACCAGTCAAGATGGTCCCTTGATTTGCACATTTTCTCTCACTTTAGGATGTTTGCTTTGAGCCATAGTCTAAAGATCCATGCAAGATAAGCAAAACACTTAGACTCGAGAAATGGATGCAAGCTCTGTGAGTTCAAGGCCAGCCTGGTTTACACAGAGAGTTCCAGGTCTACACAGACAGACCCTGTCTCAAAACAAACAAACAAACAAAAAATCAAAATAATAGCAATAACAATAACAGTAATAGCAGTAGTAATAATAGTAGTAATAGTAATAATAATAAGGCAGTTATGAGGCCAGAGAGATGCTCTGTGGCTAAGAATACTTGCTGCCCTTCTGGAGTACCCAAGTTCAGTTCCCAGCTCCCATGTTAGGAGGCTCACAACTGCAGGTAACTCCAGCTCCAGGAAACCTGACACCTTCTTCTGGTCTCCACAGGCAATCACATTCACACGCACACACTCCTACATACACATTCTCATATACATAACTGAAAAGAAAAAAAAAACGGAAGTCACTACTAACGACCACTCAAAAAGGCGGAAGAAGTAAAAATTTGATCCCAATATGAAGAGACGTCACTTAACACTGTAAACAGACTTGAACAGCAATGAGGAAGTGTCTGTGTGGGAGGCTTAACTATCACTACAGGAAGGAAAGGGAACTATGTAAAAGATGGCAGTCCTGGGTTGGGCTTCCCCTGGCACGCTACATCAGAATGTAAGGCCGACCGTCAGAAACGACTTCTACAAAGATGTCTGCTTGTGTCTATGCGCTGTCCCTCTCGTCCCCGTGCCCTGTGGCCTTAACAAAGTGTGCCACTAATGGCATTCCAATAAACAGTTCTGTAGGACTGGTGAGATGGCTCATGGGAAAAAGGCACATGCCACCAGACCTGACCACCTGAATTTGATCCCTAGAATCCACACGCCGGAAAGAAGGGACCAACTCCTGCAGGTCATCATTCTCACCATGACATAACACAAACCCGATTAAAACCTTTTCAAAGGAGTCCTGCAGGCACCACTCTCTCTCAGCGTCTTAGGAGATTGTGCCACTAACTACTGCACAAGGGAGGCTTCCTGCTAAGGATCCATAAAAAACCAGGTAAAAAGGTCACTATGTCCCAAGATGATCTCAAGCCATTTCAAGTAAAAAAAAAAAAAAAAATGGTTCTACCCTGGTAATTTGACAGTCTCAGACTCAGGGATGGGAAGGACCTGTACCAGGCCAACCCTCTCCCCTCCCTGTCCTCTTTTCCCTCCTCCCATCCTTTTTCTTCCTCTTTCATGGACTGTTTCTCTCCCACAGTCTTTCACAGAGCCATTTGGGCCTACCGATGACTATTATTACTTAAAGTTCATACTTCAACGGCTGTTCATAATGATGACGATCCCCTTGTAGTTTTTACTCATTTGTAGAAAGACCACGCAAACACAACTTGGACAGGTTCTTGATTAAAATGTGTAGCAATGGTTACGGCACATTTGGATGAGATGTGATGAAATTCTATAGCCTGTCTAATTCACAGGCCTAGAGTTTTGAGAAGTTTAGGCTGGTTGGGGTCCAGTGTATTTATTCATTTTTATTAGACTCAACTGAAAGATTTGAAAAGACAAATAATTACTTTCCTATTCCCTTCATCTGCTATTCCAGACTATGTCCAACAGATGTCACTTAAGAAGTTCAAATTGCATCTTCAAATGAAGCATAACTTCAGTAAATAAATGATTCATGAGACTAACTGAAAACCAGAACAATTTTCTAAAGCCATTGCTTCACGGGTGACACTTGTGGAAAAATACTCACCTATTTATCTGGCCATTCTCTACTTCAGTGAAGTCATTAGACTCGTTGCTGATGTTGTCGTCTTCGGGCACCGTCATGTTCTGCAACTCCGTTAACTCAAGGCCACTTTTGAAATGCATCATATTCAGGTGTCTGCAGTCAAAAAATCAGTCCGAACCTTTTCCACTCTTAGTGTCTTTAAAAGCAGAGAGCAGCAAGTATAGATTCTTGAGACCCCTAAAACAAAGCAAAATAAAGGATCATTAAATTGATGAAAGACAGCACTGATGATACACAAACCATCGCTGAAAGCAAACAAACAATAAAGTTAGCAAAAATGCCACTTTAAGATAAACAGGTTTATCTCCAAATCTCCCATCTTTTACACATCTCCCTCCATTTTCAACTATAAAGCAAGTCATGCCCCATGATCTTGAGGTCTCCTTTAAAGAAACCACGTTAGTGACAGGCAACACACACACCTTTATGAACCTAAACTTAAAAATGAAAGCCAAAGGTCAGCAAGATGGCTCAGCAATTGAGGCGCTTGCCACTTCCAAGCCTAAGGATCAGAGTTCAATTCCCATGACCCCACAAGGTGAAACGAAAGAGCCACCCCCTCAACAGCCTCTGACTTCCAAGTGTGTGCTGTGGCATACATACACTTCCCCCAACCATAAACAAATGACTTAAAGTGTGACAAGTCACTGAGGGAAAGTGATCTCCGTGATCCTAATGTGCTCGCTCGCAGGGCACAGAGGTCTGGACCACAGGCGCAAGCACCTTCATCCCGTGAAGCAATCCCAGTTGAATGTGAATGCAAATCAATAAGTGGCATCCCCCGGGGATCGATCTACAACCTGGACGAATTTTATTTTGGAATTTAGCAAATAGTTTATACATCAACAGCAAGAGATTAAATCAATCTCTTCAATGAGATCACTCCATGTCGGGGAATTAGGGAATTAAAAACTGAGTCAGAGGATTTTGGTTAATCCACCTGCTGCACTATTTCCTCATCAGACATGAAAGACAATCGGAGATGGGCGGCTGTGGCACCAATTTCTAAGGCACCACCGACAGAACGAATGGGAGAGAGGTTGGGGACACCTCATCGGAAGTCAAAAGGGTGGCCACAAAGGCAAATGAGACTTCAAAGGCCAAACGAGGGGTGACTGGAGTGACAGTCCACACTTATACCGCAGGACTCTGGGCTATTCAAGTGCCACTTCAAGGACGTCCTGGAATGTGGTAGAATGTCAAAGGGACACACCCCTAGAACGTAGTGCTAGAGCAGGTTCTCGACCTTCTTAACACTCGGACCCTTTAACATAGTTCCTCATGTAATGGGGACCCCCAAGCATAAAATTAGTTTCTCGATACTTTATAACTGGAATTTTGCTACTGTTATGAATCATAATGTAACTATCTGATAGGTAGGACATCCCATACCGACCCCTGTGGAAGGGTCATTCAACAACCCCCCCACCCCCAAAAGGTTGAGAACCACTGGCTTATGTAAGTGTTACAGGCAACTAATAACTGCTAAGTGAGGGATGATCAGTGTCCCCCAGGGACCAGCGTCCCTCTCCCAAACTCCAGTGCTCAGCCAGGAACACATATATATGAGCAGCACTAAATGGACACAGCAGATTGTATTTATAGTTGCATATATGTGTATAACGGTAATAATTAAGGGGTCATAAATTTGAAGAGTAAGGGACATGGGAAGAGTTGCTGGAGGGGAACAGGGTGGGGGGATTATGTAAATAACAATTATTCACTATGAAACTCAAAAAAATAGATGAATGTTAAAAAAAAATTAAACTGAAGCTTAAAGAAGTTACTACAAATAAATTTTCTACAGAGTACTTCCTTGAGAACATCTGATGTGTTGTCTGATCCCGAATACCAAGATGTCTGTGGCCTAGTTAAGTGAGATCTGATACGCCTATGCAGGCATCCCAGCGGGGACACACACCAAGAAGCATTTTACCAACTGATCTCTAATGGACCCGTCAAAGTACCAAGAATTTGAGGTAAAATCTCTTGGCACATGGAAACCACACGGTAGTCCTTTCCCTTCCAGGTCTCCCATCAGAAGGAAATTCCTCTGGTGTTAGGTGTTGAAACTTCCACAGCATAAGCACACTGTAATATGGCAGGCTCCAGGAGCCGCTCTCCCTTCTGCTGCACGGGGTATCTAGAGTCCAGCTCTGACTGCTTTGGGATCTTCAGGTAGTGGCAATGGCCGCCCCTGTCTTCTCTAGGAAAAGCTGGGTGCATTCAAGAAGCTGAATCCACTCTCACCCCTGGGCCTCCTTTAATGAAAACTGGCTACAAAGCAGTCTGGGTAATTTCTAAACTTATGGAGTTTTTCTCTCTCCAAACTAGAAGGTAATGAAGTACCCGGTAAGGATTTTCTAAGAGCAGATTTTTTTTTTAAGGAAGAGATTTGGAGTTTATTGTTTGACATTAATCTTTTATCTGTGTGTGTGTGTGTGTGTGTGTGTGTGTGTGTGTGTGTGTGTGTGTGTGACACGCACATGCTGTTTTAGGGTTTCTACTGCTAGGACAAAACACTGTGATCATAAAGCAAGTAGGGGAGGAAAGAGGTTTATTCAGCTTATACTTCCAAGTTGCTGTTCATCACTGAAGGAAGTCAGGACACGAACCTGGAGGCAGGAGCTGCTGCAGAGGCCATGGAGGAATACTGCTTACTGGCTTGTTCTCCATGGCTTGCTCAACCTGCTTTCTTATAGAACCCAGGACCACCAGCCTAGGAATAGCATCACCAACCATGGGCTGGGTCCTCCCTCACTGATTATCACTAATGGAGAAAATGCCTTACAGCTGAATCTCATGGAGGCATTATTTCCTCAACTGAGGCTCTTTCCTCTATGATGACTCTATGATGTCAAGAGGACACCCAAAACCAACGAGTACAGTGCTCTCACACGACTCGTGCGTGCGTGCGTGCATGTGTGTGTGTGTGTGTGTGTGTGTGTGTAGTACAGAAATAGCATGAACTTGTCGAGTAGGGAATTGAACATGACAATGGTTACCAAAACCCCACCCACTTCACTTATGCAAACACCAGTTAGTACCAGTACATCAAATAGGAAGCTGTTGAGGACATAAAATAAGTCTCCTCGAAGCCTAGCAGATTCTTGAAGATGAAAACTGGAGACGGAACGGAAACACACAAAGCCCATCATGCCTCTCATCTCACCTGGGCTTTACTTGGGAAATACTTGGTGCTCAAATTATCTGTGAGAACTAAGTGATGACGAGGTTTTTAAAACGGGACCTGGGACGGGCAGTGTGATAGAAAAGTTAGTTGGACTGGACCATGAGTCTTCTTTTTCCCAGAGAGTAATACACACTTGATGGAGAGCCTCTAGAACACGCATAAAAGAAATTCCGCCACCTAAAAATAGGCCGCCAAGACTCACTCATGTCCTCCTCCTCATTTCCATTCCTCTTTCTTTCCTGTCTCTTTTTCTATCTCTACCCCCGCAACTTCCCCTCAATTTAACACTGAAGATTTTAGATTGTTTTTAACCTACTTTTTTCACGGAACACTAGACTGCAAGAGTTCTGAAGGGCAGAAGTGGTTTTGCTAAGCCATTCACTCCAGGGAAATGGCTCAGGAGTAAATCATGAGAACCTAAATTCGAACCCCTCAGTCCTCATGGGAAAGCTGTGCACACTCGGTGTGTCTGGAATCCCAGAGCTGGATCCCTGGAACTCAAACTGGTGAGCTCCAAGTTCAGTGAGATAATCTGCCTCAATAAGTAAAGTAGAAATGAGATTTCGGAAGACACGTGAGGCTGACCTTTAACCTCCACATGTATGTAAGGAAGCATGAGCATACGTGCATCCACACTCATGCACACACATGAACACGGATACACATACACACAGACCACATGCATACATGCACATGTAAAAACAAAAGTCAGTCCCTCACTGATAGATAATACATGCTTTGTAAGAAAGACATCGCTACAAAGGGAGGAAAACACGTCTAAGGGTGATCTGCTGTCTCAGCAAGCAGTGACATCGCTGTCAGTGAGTCACTGCAGGCTATCCAGTCTTCTGTGGAGATGCTGCCTCTCACAAAGACAACCCCAGTAAACCTGCCAAATAAAGGATGACTACAAATGAAAATGTATACATTCAAGAAAATGAGGCTCAGGCAGCCCATTGACAGATTTTCTTTTCTTCCTATCTTTTTGTTTTGTCTTGCTTTTGGAGGCAGGGTTTTTCTGTTTAACAGTCCTGGCTGTCCTAGAACTAGTTTTGTAGGCCAGGCTGGCCTGGGACTCAGATATCTGCCCGTGTCTGTCTCCCAAGTGCTGGAATTAAAGGCGTGCGCCACCATTGCCAAGGAGAGATTTTCTTCATGTGTTTTTATTTTTTTATGTTTTTAGTTTGCTTTGCTTTGAGACACAGTCTCATAGTCTAGGCTGTCTGAGGATGCCTTGAATTTCAAAATCCTTCTCCCTCTACCTTCCAAGTACAGACATTACACTTGGGCATCATCATGCCTGGCTTTGAAATGTTTAAAGACATTAATTTTCACTTAAGGTATAATTTTCTACACTGAATTCTATCAACAAACACAAAGCAACATGATTATTGCTCACGCCTGGTAAATGGTTTGATGTCCAATGATACCCAACGGTACGCAATGGTGCCCAGCGGTGCCTAATGGTATGCAATAGCGCTCAATGATACCCAACGGTATAAACGGCACCCAATCTCTCACTAATGATGCTCAGATGCTTGATGGAGAGATTGACAGGTAGAGATGGGGCCTGAGCTGAGACTGAAGTGACACACTCGGCAGAAGTGACACGCACGCAGTCCATAGAGGTAGAAAGTACAGGTCAGATTTAAGAAACAAGAAACAATTGTAGTTTCCCTGGATGATAAGAACTACCAGCATTAAGGTAGTAGCACACTCGTGTGATTTGAACTTGGGGTACTAAGACAGAAGGATAGTGAATGTGAGACCAGTCTGGGCTACCAGAGCCTTTGATTCAAAAGAAAGGGGAAAAACAAAACAAAAAACATCAGGGTCTGGGAGAGATGGCTCAGTCAATAAAGAACTTGCTGCGTGAGCATGAGGACCCGAGTTCAGGTCCCCATTGTCCAAGTGGAAGTCTGGCAGACTGCCTGTTACCCCAATATTGGGTTCAGGAGTTAAGGGAGAGGGAGGAAATGAGTGTATCATCGGGGCTCACTGGCCAGCCAGTCTAATGGAAATAGTAAATTCAAGGTCCAATGAGAGACCCTGTCTCAGACTATAAGACGGCCCAAAGAGGGTAAGTGGGTCAAGGGTAAAGCACTCACCACCAAAGCCTAAAGACCTGAGTTCAATGCCTGGGACCCTCGTGGTGGAAGGAGACAGTCAACTCCCACAGTGTCTCTGACATCCACATGCTTGTTGTGGCATGTATGTATACACACACACACACACACACACACACACACACACACACACACACGGATGATTTAAGTATAAAATGGGAAATGACTGAGGATGACACTTGAGAGAGACAGACAGAGAACACACACACAAAAGAAAACAGACTATACAATTAATTAAATAAAAAACACATGAGGATCTTAATGTTGACATATGATTACTACAGCTCCACATTTAAAATAATTACAAATCACAGCTTATTCAATACAGAGCACTTCTTATCCTTACCACAAGAATCCTTGTTCTTGAGGCAAGGACTATCATCTTGGTACATTTTAGCACAGCACTGAAGTAAAATACACAAGACTGTACTGTGTTTATGTATCAGGGGAGAGAGTACACAAATAAATCCATCAGGCTTTAAGACACCCAGAACCTGTTTAAGCACACAAGGCCATCCCACATAAGATGTTAGCACACCGTAAGACACTTTGTGTGACAGAGATCAAAGTAACAGAACAAAGACAAAATCCAGGAAATTTTCAGAAATATTGTATTGTATGCATGAGGAAGAAATAAAGTAAAGAAAAAAGAAGGATAAGTAGGAGTTGGGGAAATCAGGACTTAAACTGTGTTTCTTAGACCAAGGGGTGATGATGAGGCGCACGCTACTTACACTGGGGACAGTACGAGGTGATGTGTTGGCTAGCTCAGTACTACAGGTGGTTGTCAGCTGCCTTGTGGGTGCTGGTACTGGAACTCGGGTCCTCTGGAAGAACAGATGGTGTTCTTAATTGCTGAGCCATCTCTCCAGCCCCTGATGTTTTGTTTTTATTATGAAGAACTAACATGATCATAGGTATCCTAACTTGAAAGCTGGTAGGTATCCTAGCTCAACAGCTGGCAGGTATCCTAGCTCAACAGCTGGTAGGCATCCTAGCTCAGCACCTGGAATCAACCATAACAGCTGACTAGGTCAGCACTTTAAGGAGGTGTTAACAAAGAGGACATGCCAATAGCGACCGGAGACATGAAAAGTACTCAGCACCACTAATAACTGGGGGTGCAAATCAAAACCACATCGGAACTACAACTTCACACTAATTAGCATGGTGCTCATCATAAACTCAGGAGATAACAAGTGTGGCTGAGGGTGTGGAGACAGAGAGGCCTTGTACACTGAAGGTGGGAACTTACATCGCAATTCCAAAGAAATTAAAAATAGAACCACCTTATGACCCAGCAATCCCTCTTCTGGGCAAGCACCCAAAGGAAATGAAATCACCACTTCTTGAGGGTATCTGCACGCACATGTTCATTGCCGCATTATTCTAATAGGCAAGATATCAAAACTAGGGATGTTTCGATTGGAGGGTGCAGAAACAGTCACACTCACACACACACACACACAGACCAACAGACAGGCAGGCAAGCAGACAGGAAGACAGACAATGGTCTTCTTATTCTTCCTGGCAGTCTCTTCTTGACACTAGTTGAGCGTGTTTACACACTTGAGAGTCCCGGATCTCTGCACTTCTAATATAGTGAAGTATCCATATGCTAACTTGAGTCCATTTCATAAGGCCTCAGTTAAGCTAAACAAGTTTAACTATAGTGTCATCTTATATGACATTATAACATACATATAACCCATCTTTTAGTTATCTTAACTAAATGTAATAAGCCAAGGTTGTAGTTAACAATGTCACATATCATTGGGTAAATAAAACAAGAAAAAAAAAAAAACACAGTAGACAGCCATTGTCAGTAACCACTACACACAGAATCTGATCATTATGAATACAGAATAGGGCACACTTTGTAATCTCAGCACAGGGAGGCCAAGGCAGAGAATTGATGCAAGTTCAGCTTGGCTACACAGTGAGATTCTTTTTTGTTTTTGGGTTTTTTTTTTTTGGTTTTTCAAGACAGGGTTTCTCTGTGACTTTGGAGGCTGTCCTGGAACTAGCTCTTGTAGACAAGGCTGGTCTCAAACTCACAGAGATCTGCCTGCCTCTGCCTCCCGAGTGCTGTTTTTAAAGGCGCTCCCCACCAAAGCCCGGGCGCACAGTGAGATTCTATCTCATGCAAAACAACAGTAAACAAATCAACAAGCAAGCAAAAGCAAAGATCTTGGGCTGAAGAGATGACCCAGCAGTTGAGAGCGTTTTCCACTTTAGCAGAGGCTAAGTTCAGTTCCAAGAGCCTACATCAGGACACAGCTCCAAGGGATGCCACACTCTCTCCCGGATTCCCAGGGCACTGCACCCATACATGTTGATACCTACACGCAGACACACAACACACACAGTTAAACAATAAAAACAAATCTTTAAAAAAAAAAACCCTCATCTGGGCGTGGGGGGCACACCTTTAATCCCAGCGCTCGGGGAAGCAGAGGCAGGCGGACCTCTGTGAGTTCGAGGCCAGCCTGGTCTACAGAGCGAGTTCCAGGACAGCCTCCATAACAATACAAAGAAACCCTGTCTTTGAAAAACCAAAAAACAAGCCGGGCGGTGGTGATACATGCCTTTAATCCCAGCACTCGGGAGGCAGAGGCTGGTGGATGGCCATGAAAAACCAAAACCAAACTAACAAAAAACCTCAAAGACTGAAGCTGGAGAGATGGCTTGGAGCACAGACTACTTACTCTTCCAGAGGTTCAATTCCCAGCAACCACATGGTGGCTCACAACCATCTGGAATGAGACTTGGTGCCCTCTTCTGTTGTGCAGGCATAAGACTGTATGTATAACAAAATAAGTAAACCTTAAAAAAAAAAAACCCTCAAAGATCTAGGGTCAGCAAGACGGCTAGGCTAAGATTAGTATGCTTGCCAAGCCTAATGACCTGAGTTTGATCCCAGGATCTGCGCAGTGCAAGGAGAGAACCTGCTCTTAAAAGCTGTCCTCTGACGCTCGAATGCATGCCACGGCACCACACCTTGCACTGCTCGAGCACACACATGCACACTCTAAACATAAACAAAACAAATATCTAAGTATTCGGGTGCATATGATACTTCCATTAAAAGTTTAATGTTGACACTCAAGATCTTTAAAACTTGAAATCCTTGGGAGACAGGCAACAATAGAAATGGTCTTTGAGACCAGAGTGAGAGCAAACGTATCTCAGAAGCGCTGTCTCCTCTTGTCTAAGGTCCCAGGTCAGCTAACACCGATGGTTGGAGCTTCACTAGAACCACATACCCTCCATCCTCTCTGGCCTCCTGGCTTCTGTCCTGCATTCCCAGGACGCTGGACCTGCCATGTGATCTGTCCAAAGCTGTTGTTCCTTCAGCTACCTCTGACACACTTGCCCTCGTCTTCCCTATTCTCCTAATGCCAGGTTTCACCAGCAAGTTCCTGCTCCACCTTCTTTTGCCTCAGCTTCCCCATCTGGAAATGAAGATACACTATTACCCTGCTCAGATAGCTATTGTCTTAGTTAGGGTCTCTGTCCGGTGCTGTGATAAACACCACGACCAAAAGCAACTCGGGGAGGGAAGGGTCTATTTCAGCATGCATATCCTGACAACAGTCCGTCATGAAGGAAAGTCAGGACAGGAACTCAAGACAAGAACCTGGAGGCAGGAACCGAGCAGAAGCCACTGAGGATGCTACTCCCATGTTATCCACTGCTTCCTGCTTTCTTCCATAACCCAGGACCACCTGTCCAGGGGTGGCTGAATCCTTCCCCATCAATCAGTCAAAAAAATGGTCAAGTGACTGCCTGTAGGCTACGCTTATGGAGGCCTTTTCTCGATTAATATTCCTCTTCCCAGGTGACCACAGCTGTGCAAGACGTCATGCACTGGTGAGTACAGTCATAAATGCCACGGTGTAGCCATGCAGTAGTTACTCCCAGTGCCTGCCTGCTTCTGGCGAGCTACGACGACTTTCCTCGTCAAGACAAATGGCTTTCTTCAGCCTTCTTTCTCTTGACTCGTGACCTCTCAACTTGGCTCCCACTGTTTCCCCTCTTTCCTGCTTTTTAGTTGCTCACCAGCTGCCGGCCTCTGCCTGCCCTAAGGGCAGGGTCAGTTCTCTGACTCCATCCCAGTGCAAGGTTTCGTCCACAAGCATCTTTCAGGTCTCTTCTCCCAGTCTAATTCCTTTGCTATACTGCAACTCGGGGTTTCCCTTCCAAACTCTACTCGATAATGACCATGACCCTCAACAGAAAATATGGTGTCTTTCTTTCTTTTTTTTTTTTCAGTCTGTAAAAAGAGGATGGGGGGAGGAGAGCAGATGTCAGTTTCTTTCTGCTCAGAAATTTCCATAAATTCTTTAAGCCGGCCAGGTGTTGGTGGCACACACCTTTAAAACCAGTACTCAGGAGGCAGAGGCAGGTGGATCTCTATGAGTTCGAGGCCAGCCTCCAAAACAATACAGAGAAACCCTGTCTCGGAAAAAAAAAATTTCTTTAAGTGTCTGACTGCCTGCTAGGCCTGCCCACACGGATGTTTTCGGTCACTACAGCCATCGCAGAATGGAAGCTGAACACATCACCCGTCCTCAGTCAAACCTCTACTCCTTAGTGTTGGACAATCCCAACTCCTCCCACCTTCCCCTCCATTCCACTTCTGGGACCCTCCACTCTCCTAACTGTAGAAAAAGATTCTTCTGGAGGACATCTGCCTTGCATCATTTTCGTCCCCACCGCCATCATGACTTCAGTTCCAAGTGTGTACATAGGCGATTTCTGGACCCCACTAGCTCCTAGCTCTCTCCTTGCTTTCCCTTCTGCTGTGCCCGGGCTTTGCATTCCTACAGTGGGTCTGCTCCCATGTGGGGTCCTGGCCACACCCTCCCCACTCTGCATCACACCTGTGCAAACTCAAGCAGGACCTTGTTTTCAAAGCCTGTATTGTTTGCTTTTACAAAGAATGCCAAGCCAACCTTTTCTGTAAGGCCTCTAGTGACCGTCGTGTGGTTATTTATTTGTGATGAATTCATACATACCTGTTACATGGATTATTCACTGGCTTAGACCAAGGACTCCGATATTTTAATAATGCCTTTTTGTTTTTCAATTTTAGTTTTATGGGGGAGAGGTATGAAGGTAACGCATATATGAAACTTCATATGTACATAGCATAGCAAACATTCACTAATACTCAAAATGATGCAAGTTTTTTTAAATCTATATCTGCAAACACCAGTGATCCTAACAAGCAATTTCTCCAGAAAAGAGAACAATAAAAGTGTGAAGCAGCACAAACAGCCCTTCTTCACCTCCATGAACTTGCGTGAAATTTCCTACATGATGAATTGGTACGGGACAGGTGTGAAAATACATTTAAAACCATGGAGAGCAACACAAAGGTATTTTCATCCTACCCTGCCACTGTGCTGGAATGTTTAAGATACTCTGTGTTGTTTCTAAAAGTCCAGGGACGAAAAGTGTATCAAAGCTGTCTGTCTCAACTGTGAGCAATTCTGCCCATCAGGAGATATTTGACAAAGTCTGGAGACATTTCTGGTTGCCACATGCAATGGGTCATCCATCGCAGGCTTCCAGTAGGCCATGCTGGAAATGGTACTAAACCTCCAAAGCAAAGGGAGCTGGTCCAAAATGGCAGCTCGCTAATGAAGTACCAACCCAATGCTAAGGAAGGTCAAGCCCCGCCAGTCACTGGGGACAGGGTGATAATCTAGAACAGACTGCCCACTGCACTCTATCCTATACACTGTGCCCCAGGGCCTGTTCCTACTTCTCCATTCTACAACAGGTTCCCACAGTATCAACTGAGTTCCTGCTTTCAATATGCCCAAACTAGGTTATCTGTGAATTAATATCCATATTTACATTTCAAAATGGCACTGATTTTCTTTGAGATACAAACTCTGGAAGTCAAGCCAACATATAACATTGGATATAGGAAAACAGATGCTATACTACTGTAAAATAATAATAAATGATATGTAGTTGAAGCTTAATTTAATGAGAACAGTGAGTACACTGGTTAGTTAGTAATACAACTAAAACTTCCATTAACTGGAAATGGATTTCTAGAATTACTACATGGATTTTTAGAATTATTACAAAATATAAGGACTCAAAAACAATTTGGAATACTCTAAACAAAAGAGTTACTTTCTACATGTGTTGTTGTTGTTGGTTCTCCGAGACAGGGTTTCTCTGTGCAGCTTTGGAGCCTATCCTGGCACTCACTCTGTAACCTAGGCTGGCCTTGAACTCAGAGATCCGCCTGCCTCTGCCTCCCGAGTGCTGGGATTAAAGGCGTGAGCCACCAACGCCCAGCGCTGCATGTGTTTTGCTGCACTGATATTTCAGATCACAGACCATCCTTGCACTAAAAGCAGTAATTGTGCTGTGTTTGACCCCTAGTGGAGTTCCTACATCAAGTCCTAACAAAATGCCCCAGGAAAAACAAACACAGACGGATGAAAAGCACCACAAAGCGGCACATGAAAAGCGGATCGTTTCGACAAGGATATCTTTAAATATACACCTCAGTCTGGAAAAGAAGAACAAGTCCCCAAGATACTTTGTCATCCAAACATCACACAATGGTGCAGAAAGTGGACAATTCCCTTTTTCTATCTGGTCTCTGGAGGATGAAGAACTGATGGTCTTTCAAGCTCTCTCCCAGATCAAGCCTCTGGCTGATCTGACTGTTTCCAGGCCAACGTTAACTGAGCAGATGAACCTACGGCTATTGGTTTTTTGTGTGTTTGTTTGTTTGGTTTTTCGAGACAGGGTTTCTCTGTGGCTTTGGGGGTCGTCCTGGAACTAGCTCTTGTAGACCAGGGCTACCGCTTCTTAACAGCTGACTCAAGACTGGTAGCTGTCATTCTAGCTGGACATGGGAACCAAGCAGGAAACATAAAGAAAGAAAATCAGAGATCAAGAGTGACCTCATACTCCATGGGTCTAGGATGGGATCCATGTGTATTTTAAGTGCTCTCTACAGAGTCCACTGGGAAGTCAGCCTTCAGGTCTACAGATTGAAATTAAAGGCTGAGGTCAAATGCAGCTAGTGTGTCCAGGCAGGCAAGGCAGATGAGCACCACGGCACAGGCTCACAGAACCGGAGAACGCTGACTTTTTTTTTAAAGGAATGATGGAAATTCGTGTGTGAAGTGACATCCTAATTTTTACCCAGCAATCAACTCCAAATAATTATAAAAGTGTAACTCACACAAGCCAGGCCCACAAGCACTCATCAGTTTACAATCACAACAAAAATGACTAAGACCAACTTTTCTCAGTTCTGCCCTCTCCCATCAGCCCCTGCCCTTCCACACCTCAGGCCGCCTATCCCTCTCCTTTTCCTTTCCAGTCACCTTCGTCACTGCAAGAGATGGAAACTGAGATCCTCACATTACATCTTCATGTGATCCTGGCTGTCTCAGCAGAGGGCCTCCAGGCCTGGGAATTATACAGGCCACGCATTGTAACCTGAGGCTATGGCCCCATGATGTCAGCAACTGGGTGGTTTGGTAAAATCTAGGTAAAAGCCAGTCAGGCTTATAGCTTCACATTGCTAAGATTTCACCAGGCGACACCCAGACATCCTCATGTAATCTCTGATGCCGGGTCTGTGTACTCTGCCTTAAATCTAAACCACTACAGAGTCGCCCCGCCCCTCCCGCTTTTGTTTTCTTGGGCTTTGCTTCCTTTTCTTTCTCCTGTCTGGTCTGTCTTTGGAAATGGAGTCCATGCCTTGGTAGACTTTAAAAGACACAGGCTGAGTCAACTGTGGAGCTGGGCTGAGAACCACGAAGACCTCCTCTGAGCCTTCAACTGGCAGTGAACTTAAGACTTAACTAGGCCTGACTTGTCCAAAGAATCCCCGGCTGGTTCTCATTGTATCTCCACAGCTCTGGATGGAGACAGTGACGCCTCAATCTGTTGACTGAGTTACCTGCCCAGTCACTGCAACCTCGCTGGCACTGAGTCTTTCTGTGCTACTACCCACCCCCATGCCGTGCAGGCCTCTCAGTAACTGAACTCCTCTACCATTAATGGCTGGCTTAAAACCCTTAATCACCAGAAAACCAGTGACCAAGCCATCAAATCGTACAAATAAGAATGTGTGAATAACTCATCTCCATCATCCTGATTAAGTCTCTAGGATAACACTGGTGTCATCCTCATTTAATAAATGAGGGGGGAAGTCCTAAAGCGCCCCAATCTGCCCCAAGTTCCCTAGGCCATTATGTTGCAAGCCCAGCAAGAAGACTGATCTAGTGGCTTACCATCTGTCTCCCACAGCCAGGAGTGAGGGTACACCAAAAGTGAAAGATCTTATGAGAATGTCACTGAAGGTGGTCACTAAGCACTTCTAAGGGGCAGAAAAATAGGACCCTGGCTAGGCTGTCACAGATATATAGGACTTCAGTAGGCATTCCAGTCTGGAAGCTACATAGACATTGTGGCAGTACCTGGGGGCAGGATGGATTTGCGTGTCATTTGGGAGAGTAGAGAGAGGTGACCGAGAGCCGGGTGTTGGTGGCGCACGCCTTTAATCCCAGCACTCGGGAGGCAGAGGCAGGGGGATCTCTGAGTTCGAGGCCAGCCTGGTCTACAGAGCAAGTTCCAGGACAGGCTCCAAAACAATACATAGAAATCCTGCCTCGAAAAACCAAAAAAAAAAAAAGAGGTGATCGGTCAGACTGTAACGGTCTGGGCACCTGGCAACTCACTGGAGAGTGAGGGCCTTACAAAATGTGAACAATTTAAGACTCTTGGAAGTGCCCAGATTGAGCTAGGGCATTTAGTATGGATGGGAACAACTGGGCAGCTGTTACATTGCCTTAGCTGACTGCTTCACTCCCGAACGCAGACACTTCAAGGTGCCTCCCATCTCACAACCTCTACATCCCAAAGATGTACTTGATGGGCTTCCAGACACAATGACGAGTGAGGGGCGCTTTCCACAGCTCTATTACTACTCAAAAGTGGGGGTTGTGTTAAGAGAAAGGAAAGCAGAACAGAAGGACTAAACTGTTTCAAACTTAAGGGAAGAGGAGCCGGTTATGGGGAAAGGAAAAGGAGAGATGATCTACGGCTAGGTGAGCTGCCTGGCCAAGGTCACAAGCCAGCAAGAATTTACAAAGCAACCCTCGTATCCCTGGCATTGGAGGTGGAGTGAGTGAGCACGGTAGTAGGCACCAGGCTTAAGTCCCATGCTCCCCTCATTATACCTCAGTTCACAAAGCAAGGCAAAAATGTACATCAAAAGTTGAAAGATTCACAAGTATCTTCACATCCACCTATCTGCTGAATTATAGTCACCCCGGGGTACAGGAAACACTGCTACTTCTGAAAGTCTTCCCCTAATTATTCAGACAGCGCATCCTTTCTCCTCATTAAGAGAGAAAGACACGTGTCACCTCTCACACAGTGTCGCCCTATCTCAAGCATCCTCGGGTCTCATGATCCTGTCTCATTTCTTCACGGCCTGAACACCTGGCATTTTCTGTATGCATTCATCCATAGCCTGTTTCCTGGTGAGACTGACTGGACACGGCAAAGGAGCCGGAACTTGATCTGATTAGTTGCTGCCTGCATCCACTAAAATCAGCACCTGGTTAAAAAAATTTTTTTAAAGCCCTGTTAGGATTAATACCTCAATTAAACCAGGCCGCTTTTCCATTGCTTTCAGCCACACGCTGAGAATTAAGTAACTGAACAGCAGAGTCATTTAAGTCATCTGAAGGCAGAGGTCGGGAGGCCATACCAGACGGGTGGCGGGACTTGCCAGTTTCCTATAGGGTGAGTTATTTGACAATGAGGCCAGCCCAGGTTTTATTTCCGTTGTCCTTCTGACGTCAGAAAAAGCACGAGTTGCAGCACCGTTTCTTCTACCAAGGTGACAAATTACAGCCTTGCTGGCCCTGCGTTCTGTAAACCATACATTTATTTCCCCCTCTATTATATTCTTTTTAATTTAAAAGGAAAAACCATGCAGAGTTGTCAAATCTTGCAAATGCATACCGTTTCCTAGCAGTGGATGGTTTCCTCTCTTCCACGCACAACACCGCCTATCCGTCTGAGAATAGTACTCGATCCCCAAAGCCAGTGTGTTTTCCACCGATGGAACAGGCTAGCAAAAGCCCGGGTCCACGCCGCAGAGCGAGACACAAAGGGCTGGAGTAAGCGCCACCTTCCTCGGCCCGAGGCAGCTTGTGGAAGGCAGTCCCCACGGCGTGACGCGCTTACCGCGAAATTCCTTTTGCAGCCATATGCACTCGTGTGGAGTGCGAGCACAGTTGGGCCGAAACCAGGCGGCGGGCGATGCGCCCGGGAGGACCGCGCGCGGTTCACAAGGGTGAGGAGGAACCCCGCGCCCGGAGCCGGGCTGTCTGGTGGGTGAGAGCGAGCCCCTCGAGATCTCGGGAGCGTTTTCCTCCCCGCTTGGGGCGGGCCAGTTTAAAAGCCTTTTTGCCGCAATGTTTGGGGCCAGGTGCGGGGGAGGGGAGACCAGGGCACCAGGCTCGGGTCCTGCGCAAGCAGTGGCCTTTTGTTCTCCCGCCCTGGTGGACCGGGTTCTCGCAAAGGAAGCAGCCTATCACCGGCTCTTCATTCTGGAAAGAACCTCCAGGGCGGGAGAGGAAAGTGAGTCACTGCCAGCATCCTTCCACTAATCCGAGCAGACCCAGGGGCCGAGCACCAGGAGGTGCAGACAACGTGCACCTGTTTACGGGGCTGGGCAGCGGGGGCTCCAGGACTCGGCTGCCCTGCGGGTCCCGAGATGTAGACTGACTCACTCCTCGGTGAACCTTTCCGTCCCTCACATGGCACGCTTGGTCCCTAAACCTCGAAAATGGAACCAGATCTGGCGCCACACTCCACTATCTCACACACACACACACACACACACACACACACACACACACACACACACACAAGTCCAAAAAGTAAGACACGGTACGCAAACGGTCGAATCTGGGGTCCCTGCGTTCGGGGAAGGGCACCGGACTCCGCCTTCTGGAAAGGCACCGCCGCGCTCTGCCCGGGTCCACGAGACATGGAGGATGTCCGCATTGTCGCCTCCCCTCCCCTCCACGTTGCCGCTCCCACTGCCCTCCGAACGCACCTTACCTCGAGAAATAAAGGGGAAGGCGCCGCCAAAGTGTCCGCTGTCCCCGGCAGTTAGATGTCCTTTGTGTCAAGGTCTGGCTAGGGAAAGGCGGCCCCTCGTCAGCAAGGCTGGGCGGGGAGGATCCGCGTGGCGGGCTTTCGGAGGAAAGTGAAGGAAGGGCCGGGCTGCCGGCGACCTTCAAGCAGAGTGGCGTGGCCGCGGCTCTCCCGGCTCTCCTCCTCCCGGGTCTGATTGCATCAGAGTTCCCCCCCACCCACACTCTGCCCGCCAGCCTCACACTTACATCCACACGCCCGGCGCGGAGGGGTTCCAGCCTGACTCATTGGCTACCGCAGGGCGCGACGCCCTTTTGCTTCTGCAGTTTGGGGACCGGAGCGCGGCCTTTCAGACCACCATCTCTCCCTGCCTGCGCGCCCTCCGAGCCGAGCTGCGTGCGGCGGAGCAGAGGTGTGGGTCACATGCCTCTCTGGTCGCCGCACCTTCGAGTCTCTCCCAGGCTGTAGGACAACGCGGCGACCCTGGTTGGCGGAAACCGAGCATCCGCGAAGTGTGCAGTGCCAGCGGATGCACGACCAGCGCGCAGATGCTGCCCGCCCGAGCAAGGAGGCTGCGCGCCGCCCAGCACCTGCCCGCGTCCTCCCGGGGGCTCAGCTGGGGCCACAGCTGCCGCACCCGCACCCTCGGGGCTGGAGGTGGAGCGGATCACTCGTCCGGGCGGTGGCAGGGGGCTGTCTCTTGGGGTTCGCCAGGGCCGCAGCGAGCGGAGTTGCATTGTGGGAAGGGCGCAGCGTGAGGGTAGCCCAGCGTCCCTGAGGCGGTGGCGGTCTATGGGACGCAGGGACACCTTTGGAAACCTGGTGTCGCGAGCCCAGCGGGTTAAACCGCTTCCCCTCTCCCACCTCGACAACTGCAGTCCTAGAGCAGCGCTGGGGACCCCCTTGGGGCTCTGGGTGTGACAATGACCCAAGGGGTCTACGCCAATGGCCCTGATGCCCCAGCCACGTGACTCTACCCTTGATGGGCCGGGGAACGGGGACAGGGTGCAGGCCGCATCAGTCTCGGGTTCCTCTTCCTGCCCCCTCTTTGTCTGAGGTGCAGCCCCTTAACTGAATAGGCTCTGGCTGGCACAGTCGCTTCTCCTTAAAATGGCGACAGGAAATCCCACCTGCGAGCCAGCCAATGAGCCCACCACCGCCACAGAGTCTGCAGGATGGAAGCCCGAGCCCCTCTCACGCAGATCCATCCTGTTACGGGTCTGGTCGGAGATTCCCCAGTTTGACCATTAATAAATTTTAGCAAATAAGAGGCTTTTATTCAGATACTGGCGCCGGGTGGGGATTCCGGAAAGCAGCACCCAGCCACCTCAGCCCCGGGTTTATAAAGGCAAAGAATACAAAGTTACAATTTGTTCTTCTGCAAGCTTGTTTACAGAAGCAGAGCCAGCTGTAAAAAATTAACCCTTAGCAGCCCTTAACATTTGGAGGTCTAATTTTGCTTCATACTTCTCTTAAGCACAGAGATTTTAAACTTTTAAACATAAAGTTAGCCATCAACAAAAACGTTAGCCATTACAGTTCCGTCTTTCTGTTCCATCAAAACAAGAAAACGGCGGTTGAGTCATAATTTAAAAATGAAGTCTACCTGGAGCCTGTCAAGCGGATGAGTAATGCTGTTTTGCAGTGGTTACAGATTTTTAGTTTCCACTGGAAAAATGAGAGAACCACCAAGATTTAAGCTCCTTAGTGACTAAAAGTCTTGCTCCTTTCCAAAGGCAGTCAATGGTCGCGGTTAGTTAAACCCTGTCTTCCAGAGAAGCAAGTAGGAGGCGTGGTCTTTAAATACGCCTGCAGACCGGAAGGTCATTGCAAACAGAAGGTCAGCCGAGCCCAGTACAGGGCAGTTTCTTCCTCAGACACAGTGTCTTTAACCTGTGGCACTTTGGTCCTTTTGCTGCTTCTTCATATGGAAAACTTACACGTCACAATAATAATCTGTAGGTTTATACAAAAATAGTCTCTTCTTTTTACCTTTCTTTCTAAAGGTTGAAAGTGATGATTTTAAGGTACGACTGTAACTTTGACTAAATTAGACTGAATAGGTAAACTGAGGCACAGCTCCATAAACCTGTTGAAAGGTGAGCATTGTTAAAGGAAGATGTACACTCATTTGTGTTTCTGAGAATCTGATCCCAAGACTTTTTGCTCAGATTTTAACTTAATTTGTCAGCTCCTGGACACAGTCTAGTTGCCCATCAAGCAGTTAGGAACCCAGGTCCTTGATACTCCAGTTTCTGTGCTTAGCACTTCATATTTAATTTACTACTCACATTTAAACCTTTATACACCTCAATGGGGCATTAACTGTCCTTTCGATAAATAAAGTAAATTCAAAGAGGTAAAACTGACCACATTGACAAAACACAGGAAGTAGAGGTGGGGAAGGGATTGCTACTCAGGTCAGATTCAGAGTCTGTTAGCAGTCCTTACAGGCACGGTGCAGTCAGTCTTCACCCCCTCCCTGGGATATTACTTGATACGGGCAACTCGGAGGAGAGAGTGTTCATCAGACTAGGACGTGCTGACCTAGTCCCTGATTGAAGGGTTAAAGAATTTACTCCAAGACCACACAGCTGTAATCGGCACATCTGAGTCTTAAACCCAGAAACAGTTACCTGAGAGGTTCCTGGATTCTGGAACAGCCTTGTTTACAAAACTAGGTGAGAAAAGCCGGGTGTTGGTGGCTGGTGGCGCACGCCTTTAATCCCAGCACGAGGGAGGCAGGCGGATCTCTGTGAGTTTGAGACCAGCCTGGTCTATAGAGCAAGTTCCAGGACAGGCTCCAAAGCAATACAGAGAAACCCTGTCTCGAAAAACCAAAAAAAACAAAAACAAAAACAAAAACCTAGGTGAAAAAGGTCCAGGCCACTGCATTTCAGATGGGAACCTCTGTTTCCAGTTTTTCTAGGCTTTAGGGGGTCAATTTCCCCTGTTTTAGATTTATGAGCACCACAGGCATTAATGTTAGGATCTGACTTATCTACCCACCATTCCCAATTGAGCATACTGTCCAAAATGGTATTAAAGTAGTTAGGACCCATCATCAGATTTTACTAAGCTGTCCTAAGGGACAGAAAATAGAATTTCTTTGAAAACACTAATTTTAGCTTCATAAGGAAACAACACAAAAGCATGATAACTAAAGCTGTCCTAAATAGTAAAAGAACTGCTGGAGGTAACACCGTCCCTGATTTTAGGTTGCATTATGGAACTATAGTAATAAAAACAGGATGGTATTGGCATAAAAACAGACCCATTGAAGACCCAGACATAAGTTCATATACCTATGGACTTCTGATTTTTGACACAGAAGTGAAAAATACACACTGGAAGAAAAGGCAGCATCCACAAAAATGGTCAAACTGGATGAATGCATATAGAAGAATGCAAATAAATCCATACTTTTCATCTTGCACAAAATGCAGCACCAAATAGATCAAGGACCTTCCTCTAAGGCCATTCACTAAATCTGATAGCAGAGAAAGGGGGGATAGTCTTCAACTCACTGGCCCAGGAAAGACTTTGTGGACAGAACACTGGTAACACAGGCTTAAGGACAACTTAGGAATACATAGGGCCTCATGAAACTGCAAAGCTCTCTAAGTAAACGGACTCCATCATTTGGACAAAGAGGTAGGCTACAGAGTGGGAAAAAATCATTATCAATTATACATTCAAGAGAGAGTTAATATCTAACATATATAAAGTCAAAACTGGTCATCAAGAAAACACATAACCCTAGTTCCAGGACAGTCTCCAAAGCCACAGAGAAACACCATCTCAAAAAACCAAAAAAAAAAAAAAAAAAGCAAGAAAGCACATAACCCAATTAAAAATGGAATATGGGGTGGGGAGATGGCACAGTGGTGTCTCAAACTCCAGTTCCAGGGGATCCAACACCCTTACATAGACATACACACAGGCAAAACAACAATGCCCATAAAGTAAATTATTTTTTTCAGTGGAGTACAAAACTAAACAGAGTTCTCAAAAGATGAAACACAGACAGCTAAGAAACACTTAAGGAAATGTTCAACATCCTGAGCCATCCGGAAATGCAAATGAAAACTACTCTGAGGCTTCATCTTACCCAATCAGAAAGACCAAGATCAACTACACAAATGACAGTTCATCTTGGCCAGGATGTGGAGGAGGAACACTTACAAATTACTGGTGAGGTACAAACTTGTACAGTCACTATGAAGATGAGTGTGGGAGTTTCTCAGGAATCGGAGACTAGAGCTACCTCGAGACCCCTCTATACCACTCTTAAGCATATACCCAAAGGACTCTTACATTTTACAATAGTGACACTTGCTCAAGCATGTGCATTGATTGCTCTATTTATAATAGCCTGGATGTTCGTCAGCAGATGAATGAATAATGAAACTGATACACTTACACAATGAAAAAAATTTTCAAAAGTCATGAATTCTCAGGTTAATGAATGGAGCTAGAAAAAAAAATCATGCTAAGTGAGATAATGCAGACCCCAAAAGACAAGTATTGTATGGATTCTCTTATATGTGTGTGTTAGCTTTGAAGCCTTTGATAGTCACGCTACCATCTGTATATCCACAGAGGTTAGATACTAAGGAAACAACTACAATAAAGGGAAGAATCTCCCAAGGAAGGGGAAACAGAATGTGTAGTCAGAGAGCGAATGGTACAAGAGGATTAAATGGGGAGGGGGAGAGAAAGAGGGTAAGGGAGAGATGACTAACACTAAGGGCCGTTTGAGGGATCATACGGGAACCTACTACTTTAGAAACGTCTTAAAATCTACATGTGATGGAGATTTTGACTACATCTGGAGTTAACCAAAACCCAAAAATGGCAGGGCACACCTGCTGTCAGGGAGTTTTGCTTAATAAAATCATTTGGAGTGGGAAGATCCACTTCTGATCCAGACCTTTGAGGCAAGAAGACACGCCTCTAATCTGGGCCACGCCCTCTGCTGGAAGCCTACATAAAGGACATGGGAGAAAGAAGGCCCACTCTGCCTCCCTGCTCTTGCCTTCACTAACAAGTCTATTTCTTTTATTGCATTTGAGCCTACTTCTTCAGGAATCCAGTGTATACTGAACACCAGCAGAGATATCCGACCTTGTATTGACTGAACAACTACTGGATTCTTGGACTTTCTGTTCATAGGCAACCATTGTTGGATTAGCTAGACCACAGTCTATAAGTCATTCTAATAAATTATATATATATATGTGCACATATATGTGTATATATATATGTGCACATATATATATATAGAGAGAGAGATTCTGTAAGTTCTGTCACTCTAGAGAACTTTGACTAACACATATATGTGAACAAATCTAAATGGAGTCACTAAATAGCAGGGGACACAAGGCCCCGACTAGCTATGTTTCACCACCAAGTGAAACTTCCAGCACCAAGAATTGGCTACATCAAGTTGAACTGTTGGCAAAAGAGGCCCCCTAGAAGTCCCCAAACATCTAGGCTATTGGTTGCTCTCACCATCTGATAGTAAGACTCTATTGCTAAAGACAACATTTACATATCTCACTGAACATGGAGAATTCAAGCTGATGACTAACTAGAGCCTTCACCCCTATAGACTGGAGATCCAACTGTAAGGCATTTTCTCAATTGGTGATCAATGGGAGAGGGCCCAGCTCATGGTGGGTGGGGCCATGCCTGGACTGGTGGTCCTGGGTCCTATAAGAAAGCGGGCTGAGCAAGCAATGTGAGACAAGCCAGTAAGCAGCTCCCTCCATGGCTTCAGTATCAGCTCCTGCCCTGTTTGAGTTCCTGTCCTGGCTTCCTTTAATGAGGAACAGCAATGTGGAAATGTAAACTGAATAAACTCTTTCCTCCCTAACCTGTTTTTTTGGTCATGGTGTCACAGCAGTAGAAACCTGAGCTAAGCCGGGGACCCGTCTAGAGATCACATGACTTTGACTACAAAGCACTTAAGTATACTAGTTGGTGTAATAAGTGATCAATAAATGGCATTTGCCATGATTTTGTACACTTTGCAAACATAAGCAGAGGCGATGGATTTTCAACACCCAAACTTATAAGCACAAAGCATTCTGTTGTGTTCACCCTATACCGAAAAGACTGCTGAATTCTCATTTTAATTCAAATTCTTCCCACTGTGCCAATGAGAGAGCAGGTATTAAAGAGTATCTAGGCCGGGCGTTGATAGCACAGGCTTTTAATCCCAGCACTTGGAAGGCAGAGGCAGGCGGATCTCTGTGAGTTTAAG